CAGTGAAATGTTGGCTACCATGAGTCAGAATATGCTCAGTGGCAGTGCGTATTGGCTTGGGGTTAGGGAAGGTAAAGAGAGACATTTAATAATTTTGTAGCACAGTGTGATTAAATTAAAAGCTTGGCCAATCAGCCCAATAAGAGGATGATAAAAGAATTAGTTTCATTTATCCAGTTTGACTTACTTTTAGGCATGTTGTTAGGAGAGGCTATTCCTTGGAAAGGATATCATACATGGAAAGTCAGAAGGTGAACAAAGGAGAGGAAGACCCTTGACAGGTGGATTGACACAGTGACTGCTGCAGTGGGCTCTAGTGTGTCAGGAAGTGTGGGGGTAGCACAGGATAGGACAGAGTTCAGATCTGTTGTTCACAGGGTCGCTATAGGTTGTACTTGACTCCACAACGGCTAACAACAACAATCCTGATATAGACCTGAGCCTCTTGCAGAAAGAACCAAGGGAGAAACAAACAAAACGAGGGTCAGAGTTGGTTTAAGTTGCTTTAGAGATGGCTCTTAAGTAAAATTCAATTCTAGGAGTAGTGAAGTCCTTCACTCCAGCAATTTTTAATTTAAGAAAAATAGTGGTACATAGTTCTTTTACTTATCTGATATCAGTAAAAGGCTAGTTGCATACCACTAACCAAAGATTAGTGATTCAAATCCTCAGCCACTCCTCAGGCAAAAGATGTTCCATTTTCTCTCCATAAAGCTTTACGGCCTCAGAAATCCTGCATAGGGTCAGTATGAGTTGGAGCCAATTTGTTGACAGCTGGGTTTGTTTGGTTTTGTTCATGTACGTAAAATAAACCTTCTTGTTATGATTTTAGTTCAGGAGTACTACTTTCTGAAAAGTAGTGATTTGAGTTCAGGTATTGTTGTTTTTGTTGTTGTTAGGTGCCTTGAAGTCAAGTATGACACATAGCAACACAGAACACTCACACTTCCTAACACTCACAAGAGCCCATTGCATCAGTCGCTCTGTCAGTCCACCTGGTTGAGGGTCTTTCTCTCCATCACTGACCCTTCACCCTTCCCAGTATAATGTCTTCCTCCAAGGAATAACCCCTCCTAGAAACATGCCCAAAGTATGTGAGGTGAAGCCTCATTATTCTTACCTCCAAAAAGCACTGTCTGCACCCTCTCCAAGACATATCTGTTCATTCTCTTGGACATCCATGAAATGTTCAGTGCCCTTCTCCAATACCACAGCTCAAAGGCATCAATTCTTCTATTCTTCTATCATCTCTACTATTCATTATCCAGCTCTCAGATGCATAGCAGGTAATTGGAAAGACTATAGCCTGAATTAAACACACCTTAGTCCTCAAACTGACATCATTGCTCCTCAATAATTTGGAAAGTCCCTAACTACAGATATTCCCAGTGCAATGTGTCTCATTTGCTGACTGCTGACACCAAAGGCATTAGTAAGGTTAGTAAGGGATCCAAGTAAGATGAAGCTGTTGTTGACAGTGTCAAACATCCATCATGATGCTGCTTATTGGTCCAGTGGTAAGGAACTTTGTTTTCTTGACATTGAGATGCAATCCATATCAAAGGCTGCATTCATTGATGTTCTGCAACAAGTGCTTCGATTCCTACTCACTTTCAGCAAGCAAGATTATGTAATCTGCATAACGCAGGTTATTGATGATTCTCCCTCCAACCTGATGCCATGTTCCTCCTCATAGAAGGAGGACATAGACGCTGCATTGAAGGTGTTGGCAAAAAATAGAGCCCCAGGAATCAATGAGATATCAGTTGACTTGTTTCAATTAACAGATGCAGCCTTGGATGCACTCACCAGTCTAAGCCAGGAAATTTGGAGGACAGCTGTCTGTCCAACAGATTGGAAGAGATCCATATTTGTTCCTATTCTCAAAAAAAGGTGATCCAACTGAATGTGGGAACTATTGAACAATATCATTGCTATTCCATGCAAGCAAAATACTGCTGAAGATCATTCAAAAACAGCTATAATGGTACATAGGGAACTGCCAGAAGTTCAAACAGAATTTAGAAGAGGCTGTGGCACCAGGGATATCACTGCTGATGTCAGATTCAGATGGCTCCTGGCTGAAGGTAAAGAATACCAGAAGAATGTCTATTTGTGCTTTATTGACTATGCTAAGGCATTTGTCAATGTGGATCATAACAGATTGTGGCTGGCATTCAGAAGAATGGGAATCCCAGAGTACTTGTGCTCAAGCAAAACCTATACCTGGACCAGGAGGCTGCTGTGTGAATGCAGCAGGGAGACACTACCTGGTTTGAAATTGAGAAGAGAGAGTGCCAGGGTTGTATATTCTCTCCATACCTATTCAACCTGTATGCGGCACTCCCTGTGCAATGTCCAGAGTGGGTACATAAAGAGACAAACAACAGCTTAGCAGTTACCAGGAGCTGAAGGGAAAGAGAAGAATGGGAGTTACTGCTTAAGGAGAACTGACTGAGTTGGGGGCAATAAAAAAAAACAAACACAACTTTTGGAAATACAGAATGATGATGGCTGTATAATATGGTGAATGGAATTAATGTCCCTGAATTGATCCCTATGAAATAACCAAGTTTTCATTTTATACATTTTACCATAATTTAAAAGTGGACTGTCTGGAGCGAGCGTACAAGCTGAGGTCAGGAAGGTCAGCAGGGCCTTTGTTATTCAGTGAGGAACATTTGGATTTTGCTCTAACCGTAGTTAGATCATAATATTTATAATGGGAAATTATAGAAAGTGTTAAGGAAGGGAAGAACTGGAATCTAATTTGTATTTTTTTTAATCCATGTATCATCAAGAACAAATCTAAACAGAATGTAGAATGGAAAAGCAAGCCATAAAAGCAAGTTTTATTCCACTTTTATAAAGTTCAAACATATGAAAAATTAAGGAGGATATTCTTTGCGGTTGCAGAAAAATGTAATAAAGTGAATGATAAACACAAAATTCAGTATCTTATTTCCTATAGTAGGAATTGTTATTGTTGTTATATACCATGGAGTTGGAACCAACTCATAGCAGGTTTTCTGAGGCAGTAAATCACACAGGAGATTGCCCATCTTTCTCCTACAGAACAGCTGGTGGATTCAAATCACAAGCCTTCAGGTTGGCAGTACAGCTCCTTATTGCTAGGCCACAAGAGCTCCCTAATGGTAGAGGAGGGGAGGATAATAGTGGAAAGGTACACAGGAAACATCAAAGTTATTGTTGGGCTCTACTGGCCTAGTGCTAAGGAGGTATGCTGCCAACCCAAAGGCACACAGTTCAAATCCACCAGCTGCTCCACAGGAGAAAGATGGCCATTCTCCTTCTGTATAATTTACAGCCTCTTAAAACCCACTGGAGGGTGAGCTAGGAGTAGGTTCTGACTCAACGGTACACAACAGTTCTTAATAAAGTTAGAAGTCATGTGAGTGCTTGACACATTACTAGAAATACCTTTATGTATGCCATGCAGATTTGTCTCAATGCATGATAAAGAAGCAAGAATAAAACCAAAGACACATATTAGAAACTACTATTTAATCCAGAGATAATGTCAGGGGGTACAACAGAGGGGAATCTCTAGTTTGTGCAAAAGGCTATACAATGATGTCATTAACCAAGGGGGTGAAGGCTTCAGGAGGAACATACTGGGAGGTAAGAAATTAAGAATTGAATGGTGTCTGTTGTTGTTGTTGTTATGTGTCGAGTCACTTTAGACTCATAGCAACCCTATGTACAACAGCCCTAAACTCTGCTCTGTCCTGTGCCAATCACACCGTCTCTGACACACCCATCCCGATTTCCCCAGTCACTGTATCAATCCACCTCATAGAGGGCCTTCCTCTCCTGCACTGTCCCTCCACCCTACCAAGCATGATGTCCCTCTCCAAGGACCGGTCCCTCCTTACAACATGTCCAGAGTGTGTTAGATGGATCCACAGAATCTTTGCCTCCAAGGAGTAGCCCGGTTTAACCCTTTCCAGGATGAATCTGTTTGTTTTCCTAGCAGTCCATGGTACCCTCAATACACTTCTCCAACACCACAGCTCAAAGGCATCAATTCTCCTTCAATCCTCCTTAGTCATTGTCCAACTCTCTGATGCCTAACAAGTGATTGCAGAGACCATGGCCTGTATCAGACGCACCTTAGTCTCCAGTGTCTAGGTAGTAAAATTAATACCTACTTGAAACCCAATGTCGTTTAGTTGATACTGATGCTTCGTGCCCACGATCAAGTTTCCAAGCTACAAATCTATCAAAGGACACTGTTTACCTTTCTCTAGCAGAGAAACTGATGGCTTTGAACTGCTGACCTTTTAGGTATCAGCACAACACATACTGCACTATACCAGCAGAGGGTCTTGTAGAGTGTGGTAGTGGTACCAAACATGCACATGGTATGTCTAGAAAACAGTGGATGGGAGAGATGGGGTTGCAGGGAGACCACGAGTTGAGCATCCCTGGTGCACAGACGTGGTAGAGATCTGAGTCTGGAGGACTGCTGTGCTCAGACATTTGCAATCCTTCTGAAGATTCTCCAGTCCTTTTGGCTCAGATTCATGGTAACACCATGTGGGTCAGAGCAGAACTGTGCTCTGCAGAGTTTTCTATGGTTGATTTTTCCCAGATGAAAATTGCCAGGGCTCCCATCTGTGGCACACAGGGATGGAATCAAACCTCCAAACTTTTGCTTAGTCAATGAGCATGTTAAGTATTTGCACCTCTTGGTTTCAGCTGCTAACAGGGGACAGCTGAGTTCATTCAGAGGTGACTTGGAAGAGGTCCTGATGATCTACTTCTGAAAAATTGGTCATTGAAAACCCTCTGGGACACTGTTCTGCACCTCTGGTGTACACAGGGTTACCAGAGGTCAGAATCAACTCAATGCCAGCTGCTGGTAGGAACCCAAGTCATCTTCATCTATCATATGAAAACTTGCAATATAAAAAGAAAAGTGTGACATTGGAAAACTTTACATAAAGTCATTTCTACTTAACTGTTTTTATTTCTAGATTTTAGAAATATTAATTTTCTGCATTCTCCTGTATTTCCATAAAAGAAAAGGAATGAAGCACATTGTGATTTTGCTAACCCTAGCGGCACTCCTGGGTAAGAACTTACTTCGTTTTCTTATTCTTTATTCTAGTCATGCTAAGTCAGAAAAGAGATTGAAAGCAAAATAATTGAACGTTCTATTTCTTTCTCACTGTTTCTGTGCTTTACCTCACTTTTGTAACAGTGAGTTTTAAATAATGCAAATTATAACTCACATGCATATGCGTATAATTGAGATATATTTAATTCTTTAAAAATATATTTAGAGGTTTTTTTTCTTAGAATCTGCAAACTGGTAGTTTGAGGATTTTTTTTTTCCTTTGTAAATAATTGGAAATACCAAAGGGGGAACAAATTCATGAACACAATAGTAATTTTTGTGTTAGGAATGAGAAAGAAATAGCTTCTTTTTTTTCCAAACTGTTTAAAATATGTTTAATATTAAATATTGCAGTATTTCTTTTTTTATGCAGTATTTCTTAAATACAGCATTTCTTTGACTCATTTTCCACTCATGTAATGCTTTCTCTCCCAAGTCACCTTGTAAGACTTGAAAGACTGATGCTTACATATTATTGTTATGTGTCATTGAGCTGGCACTGGCTCACAACTAACCCTCCAGTGGGTTTTCCGAAGCAATAAATAGCCCAAGAGGAGATTGCCCATCTTTCTTCTGAAGAGCAGCTGGTGGATTTGAACCACTCATCTTTGAATTGGCAGCACAACCCCTTACCCACTAAGCCACCAGAGCTTATACATATGTCAATATATTCTTGTGTTTTGTATTCTCTCTCTCCCTTTCTCTATCCTTTTCTTTCTTATTCTCACACACATCCACATATATTCATATATACTAGTACAAAGCTCTATAATCATGTGGGAAATTCTCTTTTGTGGAGTTTACTTAAATTCTTCCTTTGCCCCTTCTTTGCCAGTAAGATGTTTCATACATTGTATGTTGTTTCCTGTTACTGTGTAGGCTGTACTTGTGTCATTGGGGCAGACTGTCAGCCCCTACATTAATGGGGTACTGGGATTTCTTCATCTCCCTGACCAGTTCTCTCTTTAGTGTCAGAACATTTTTGTTTGGGATAGTTCCTTAGAGGAACTTTACACTAAACATGCTCAGGTGTGCTGATGATCAAGCAAAGAAAAAGAACTTATCATTTTTTTTCTTTGCAGATAACCAGATAAAACAAAAGCAAGCAATATAGAAAATGTGTATTACTTAAGAAAAGATGGAAAATAAAGGACATTTTATATAACTGAAGTAATATCATACATATTGGTTATGATTGTAAAAGTAAATAGGGTAAGTTTATGTAGTAGAAATAGAAAGACTCTCAAATTGGATTCAGCCATCAGCTAGTAAGAGTTAATAAAGTAACTTCTTCCCAAAGCCCGTGAGAGTCTCTTTCCCCTTTCCCCCACAAATGCCCCCAGGTCTGCCCTGATTAACAGTTAAGTATCAGTGCAACAAGGAGTCCTAGTGGTACAAAGGTAAGAACTTGGCTGCTAACTGAACTCACCAGCTGCTCCATGGGAGAAAGATGTGGCAGTCTGCTTCCATAAAGGTTTACCTTTATTCCTTCCAACTCATAGTGACCTTATAGGATGATATAACCCTCTGGTTTCCAAGGCTATAAATCTTTACCAGGGCTCCCCCTATAAATTGTTACGAGTTGAAATCAAATTGACAGTACAGGTTTTATTAATGCCAGAGGCCAATATGAACCTCCTCCAGTGTTGGAAAGACAGGCAGGCCAGGCTCTTTCTAATTGGCCAGTACCCTTTCTGGTTGTGAAATATTTTGGCCACAAACATAAAAGTCATCATAAAAAATTAATGGGAATGATTGTATGAAACACTAGGTGAATGTGGGATAGTGTGAACACAATATATACAAACTTTGTAAGCAAAAAACTATAAAATAATTTTTTTAAAAATTAAGCATTTTTAGCAAATTCATTAGAAAAAAAGAATAAGAAAACATAAAAGTCCTCTAATGCAAAGTAGATGGAGAAGGGATTGTTAATGACATCAGCTTGCTTGGTTCCACTATCAACATTCTTGGCACCATCAGTCAGGAAATAAAAGATGGATTGTATTGGGAAAATTTGTTGTCAGGAACCTCTCTAGAGTACTGAAGAGCAATGATTTCAGTCTTGAGAGTAAGGTGTGCCTGATACAAGCCATGGTCTTTGCAGTTACTTGCTATGCATCAGAAAGCTGAACAATGACTAGGGATGACAGAAGGAGAATTGATGCCTTTGAGATGTGGTGCTAGAGAAGAGGACTGCTCAGAGAACAAACTGGTTTATCCTAGAGAGGGTGAAATCAAGTTGCTCCTTGGGGGCAAGGATTCTGAAGCTCCATCTGACATACTTTGGACATGTGGCCAGGAAGGACCAGCCCTTAGAGAAGAACATCATGCTTGGAAGGGTGGAAGGACAGAGCAGGAGAGGAAGACCCTAAATGAGATTAATTTACTCAATGACTGGAGAAATGGGATTAGGTCTGTCGGAAATGATGAGATTGGCTCAAGAAAGGGCAGGCCTTCAGAACTGTTGTACATAGGGTGACTGAATCATAGTTGACTCGGTGGCACATAATAACAACAACAAAGTAAGGTAACTTAAGTTGAAAGTAAAAGTAAGCAGGAGATTGTGATATTACTATCTACATAAAAATCAACGCAGAAACATAAATGAGACAAAAAGTGGTCATTTAAATACAATGTATATGAATGAAACACAGTGTATACGAATTTTGTATACAAGCCAATAAAAAATTTTAAAAAATTTAATTTCTAAAAACAAAACAAATGTGTTCATTTATACCAACAAAAGAATACTATTCTGTTACATATTAGATCATAGTTAACATGGATCATACCTAATAGATAACAAGAAATCTACGGAGAATAAAAAAATTAAGTAAATAAGCTGGGAGGAATAGGGGACTTTGCTCAGTTCATGGACGATAAGTAGATAGAAAAATATGCCAAGATGGGGCGTCTGAATACTTCTTTGATCTAGTAGCTCTAATAAAGAATTCCAAATACAAAAAAACAGTGGCTACTCCCCTTCTCAAGTGCCTGTGCTGCAGAAGTTTATCATCTACTTGGCCACAAAGAAATCCTTGATGGGTTCCAGAAAGTTGATATAGGACAGATCACATTCTCAGATCACAGTGAAATAAAATCAAGAAACAAAACAAAAAGAGAAACTAACAAAACTCCACTACTTGGCCATTTTCATGATTCTTTCTTTCAAATGTGCTGAGTCGGAAGAGTAATCAAGGTTTCATTAGAGCATATGTTTTATAAAATTATTATAAAACACTCAACAGAGAAACCTATAATTGTTTCCTAATTTATACAACACTGGGTTTAAACCTAGCAACATTAGTGAGGATGGTACCAGACACTGTTTGGTTCTCATGCGTAAAGGGCTGATATGAAATGGAGCCAACTCAATATCACATAACATTTTATTGACAGTTATGTTGAGAAGAAAATTCATTCTTTTAGGTGTAAGTAATTAAGCACTCAACTGAAAAAAATTAGGAAAAAAACAAAAACTCTGAAATAAATTGAGAAAAGCAGAATGAAGCTATTAATAAAGGCAAAAATTCAAGAAGCAGGAAATCAAGAAACAACCTGTGAATCTTAAAAGAAACTTAAAAAATATTTTTTAAAAAGAAACTTAAAAGAATCTTAAAAGAACCTTTAAAAGTAGCTACTAAAGGATGCTCCACTAAAAGAAAATAAGGAAAATGCATACTCAAAGTTAAATATCAAGTTTGCAATGTGCAAGTAAATATGGAAAGTTGAATACATCACTGATTTTTTTTCATGGAAAATAACAAAGAAGCAAATAAAGGAAAGTGTTGAAATATCCATCTTAGACATAAAGTATGCCTAGATGATTGGTAGCATCATGATAGATGGAGAAGAGATTGAGATTGTGAACAATTTTAGCTTGCTCAGTTTCACAATCAACACTCTTGGCAACAGCAGTCAGGAAATAAAAAGATTAATTGCATGAAGAAAATCCGTTGTCAGGGACCTTTCCAGAGTGCTGAAGAGCAAGAATGTCAGTCTAGAGACTAAGGTGTGCCTGATCCAGGTCATGGTCTTAACAGTTCCTTGCTATGCATCAGAGAGATGGACAATGACTTAAGATGACAGAAAAAGAATTGATACCTTTGAATTGTGGTTCTGGAGAAGAATATTGAACAAACCATGGACTGCCAAGAGAACTAACAAATCTGTCGTGGAGAGGGTGAATTCAACCTGCTCTTGGAGGCAAGGATTTTTAGACTCTGTCTCACATATTTTGGGCATGTAGTCAGGAGAGACAAGTCTTTGGAGGAAGACATCATGCTTGGAAGGGTGGAGGGAGAGCACAGGAGAGGAAGACTCTGGATAAGATGGATTGACACAGTAACTGGGGTAACGGGTATAGGTGTGTCAGATACAGTGAGGGACTCAGGATAGGATAGGGTTCAATGTGATTATACATAGAGTCACTATGAGTTGCAAGTGGCTCGATGACCCATAACAACAAAAACAAGATAGTTTCAGAGATATTATTTTCAAATCTGTAAGAACACATTATTCTGATATGAGAATATTTGAGGACATGAAGCTTTCTCTCTCTCTCTCTTTTTCTTTTCTCTATAATACTGACACTATCTGAAAATGATAGCACAGATAAAGGACAGTGTGCACTGACTTCACCACTGAATACTGAAATTAAAATGTTAAATAAGGTATTGGTGAATAGATTCCAAAGTGAATGTCATCACAGCCTAATTGTGGTAACATAGTCACTTCTTTTTCTTTCATTATAACCATTTGTGAATGCATGTCACATTCTACTTCTATATTTGTATATTATGTGCTTGTGTTCTTTGCCAGCTTAGTCTTCTGAGAACCCAGATCTCATGTCAGTTGTATTTATATTATGTAGACTTTTCCTGGAACTGAGAGTAGTGAACACATAATAAACACTTGAATTCATTAACTAGCTAATTAGTTAATTATGTGAATGAAAACATGGTTCTTTAAGAAATCCATTAATATAGTTCCCACATTAGTGATACAAGGGAAATATGATATAATTATCTTAATACATGCAGAAAAGACATTTTAAAATTTAATATCCATTCCTTTTCAAAGATGTGCAACAAAATAAGAATACAGTTGAGTGGTTTATAAAACAAAACAAAACATAATATTCTTAAACTAATGTTATATCATGTTGTTATGTTATGTTATGTTGTGTTATGTTGTGTTATGTTATGTTATGTTATGTTGTTATGTTATGTTATGTTATGTTATGTTATGTTATGTTATGTTATGTTATGTTATGCCATTGAATCAGAACAGACTCATAGTTGAGTTTCCAGTGGGTTTTTGGAGATTATCAAATGCATCTGAGGAGATTTCAGAAGCTGAATATAATCAATGGTGAAATACCAGAAGTAGTCATATTGCAGTAAAAAAATTAGGAAGCAAAATAACTTCTCTTCATTAATACTCTTCTGAGATATTTGAGTACCTTACAGTTATCACTAATGGCTTTAACAGAAAACCAACAGAAAATTATGTGGCAGCTTGAAAAAAAATGTCTAGGGTTAATGTAAAATGAAAGAAGTCACACACGAAATCTTATATTTGTTGTGATTAAAAATACTTATGAAACAATAATTGGAATTGATGTAAAGTGATAGGAATGTTTCTTTATTATAAATTATTTGTACTATAAAACTATTAACTAAGAAATAGAGACAGTTGGATTCCTACAGTGTAATAGAATGATGCTCAGCCCATACCTCACACCATATACGAAATTAAATGAAAACAGATCAATGACCTAAATGTAAGGACTAAAACTATAAAATTATCATACCAAACAATAGAGGTAATTCTTAGAGTTCTAGTTTTAGACAATATATAAATTTAGACTTCTTAGAAATGTCACCAAAGGCATGAGCAACAAAAGATAAATCAGAATTTATTAAAGTTTAGAAACATTAGTGCCTTAGAGTACTTTATCAACAGAGTGACAATGAATGAGAGAAAATCTAAGAGAACTCCCTATCAGATAAGGATTTAATGTCTAGAAAGCATAAATAACTCCTGCCATTTAACAATAACATTGTGAACAATAAAAAATCTGCAGATTACTTTGTTAGCTATTTTGCTCATAGTTATTAGATAGCAAGAACACATTTACATGGCCAACAAATACAATAAAAAATGCTTAATGTCACTAGTTGTTACTGTTGCTGCTGTGCTGTCAGGTTGACTACAACTCATAACAACCCTATGAACAATGGCTCTGAACCTTGACCTATCCTGAGCCAACTTTACTGTCGCCAACATACCTGACCCTATTGCTACCATCACCATGTCAATCCATCTCACTGAGGTGGTTCTTCTCTTGTGCTGACTATCTCACCTTCCAAGCATGATGTCTTTCTCCAAGGACTGGCCCCCACCTGATTTCAAAATCCTTGCCTTCAAGGAACAATCTGGTTTCACCCTCTCCAGGACAAATCTGTTTGTTCTCTTGGCAGTCCATTGTATGTTCAGTACTCTTCTCCAGAACCACAACTCAAAGGCATCAGTCCTCTTTTGTCATCCTAATTCATTGTCCAACTCTCAGATGCATAACATGCAATTGAGAAGACCATGGCTTGGATCAGGCACACCTTACTCTTCAGACTGACAGTATTTATGTCTCTAATGAAGAAGCATCCATAGCAATCTAAGAAAGACCTCACAAGGAGCTATTGATGACAAATTCAGAATAAACAACCTCTCTGTCTCTTTGTGTGTGTGTGTGTGTGTGTGTGTGTGTCTGTCTGTCTGTCTACCTCTCTCTCTCATTGCTGTCAAGTCAGTTCTGACTCATAGCTTACCCTCCAGTGGGTTTCTGAGGCTGTATTATTCTGCACAGGAAGATATTGCCCGTCTTTCTCCCTCAGAGACACAAGATGTGAACTGCCGGAGGGATGTGACCTTTGGATTAGCAGTGAGCTTCCTAAGGCTGAGTGCCCAGTAACCCTTCAGCCAAATTTTTAAAATGAGTTAGTATATGTTAGGAAAAAGTGGAGCTGTTGTAATGATGACTGTAATAAATGTTTATTAATGGGATTTAGGAAAGTTACAAAGAAAAATTTTAATACCTATGGGAGGATAATTTTCCTAAAGAAATAATCAGAATGACATATAAAGATTTATATGCAAAGATATTCATCACAGGGTCATTTTTAATAGCAAAAAAGGGGGGATATAATCTAAATATCCCTAAGTGGGGAGTTGTAAAAATAAATCATGTATTTACATAAAGATCAATAAAACCATGCTTTAGAAGAATACTTAATGACGTATAAAATGCATGAAGGCATAAATAAATAGGTTCATAAACAATATATAGTATATGATTCACATGTTACAGTATATACATATTTAGGCATAGAAAAGTAACTAAAAAGAAAGATACCAAAATGTTGAAAGTGCCTTGTGGTAGAGAGTTTATGTTAAAGGTGCTTTTAATTTTTCTCCAATACTTTCCTGCATGTTCCAGCTTTTCATAAACGGATATACTTTTATCCTTAAAATTTAAATTACTTTCTGTTTACATTAAATGAAAGGGTATATTTTTATGTCCTTTTCTTCTATTTTTCCTTTACATACATAAGTTATTATTTTTACATATCCAACATTAGAGTAACACCATATATACAATTTTATTTTCCCACCTATTCTCCTCTCCCCCAACCCTAGAAAAAGTTAGTAAGTATTCTACACCAGCCTAGAAATAACTTACAAGATGATGATAAATAGCAGTTGATAAATAGCGATGGCTGTATATGCTTGGAAAATGTAATGATTGATAGCAGTTAATGGGTTGTTTTAGCTGTTTAATAAAGAATTCTAGTTTTTGAGTTGTGTTTAAGTGTAATTTAGCATTGGATGGTGGTTGAATTAGATGATCTTTAAAGTCCTTTGCAAGTCTGAAGTTCAGACTCTAATGGAACAATATGCTCAGTTCCTTCTCTGTTAATTATTCCTTTGGGAATCCTGGTGGTTCAGACCACAAGGCCATAACCACGTTGTACTCTAATTTCAGGCAGTGTTTAGAAGGAAATAAACGTCCCTCAACAGTTAACCTCACAAACTTAACCCATCCAGTGGCACACAGATCTCTGCAGATATTTAAAATTCCTAGACCAGCTAAACTGTAACTAGCCCCTGAATCAGCGAAAGTTTGTAAAAGGATCATGACAAAAGGCAGTACGATGGGAAGGGGCCCAATGTAAGACCCCTCTCTCTCTCTGTTCCTCTCAGATCTTTGTCACCTGGTCGCTATTCAGTATGACTTTTAACGGAAGAAAATCCTTAAATTGGAACTGTGCCCTGGTACCCTTCAAGTTAAAATATACTTTTCAGATTTGGGGAAAGAAACTTATGAGGATTGCTTCCTGGCTGGCCATCTCTATCTGTTTTTAAAATAATTCTTCTTTAATGTGTCTATGAAAAGAGAAATAATACCTTTTAAATCTGAAAAAGAGGAAGCCAGGGTATGTTATGACCAAGAAGATCTGCAGCAACAAAGGGAAGATGCCAGTTTCATATTTATTGCCTTTGACATATAATTATTTGATTTCATGTAAAAAATTATTTTTAACTTTCTGTGGGTTTCAGATAAATTATGGAATTACATGCACCGGTAACTTCAAGAGACCTAAAACAAAAAGAAGGGCCTGTCTTCTTCCTACCAACTGTGTTACCAGACAATGCTTCCTTGTTTTAATAGTGATAAAACCTTTATCACATCACTCTTTAATTGTTATATGAAGTCTTATGATAAATTTGCTTGCATAAGAGTAGGTTCCTTTTTAATATACAAAATACCTATTGCTCAGGCAAATCATAGACGTTCTAGTGGCCTAAAGGGTAAGGAATTGTGCTGCCACTTCATAAGCAGGCAGTTCAAATCCATCAGCTGCACCAAGGTAGAAAACTGGGCATTCTCCTCCCGTGTGAGTTACAATCCCTGAAAACCCACAAGAAGGTCAGATATGTCAGTTCTAGCTTGACAGCTGCAACAACAACATAAAAATCTAAAGGCTATGTGGTTTGCTCTTGAGAAATGAGTACTTGTCTCTGGTTCTATTTCCTTAGCAACTTTGTGAAAAAGAAGTGGGAAGGTGACCTATTTTTAATGAAACTTATAGCTATTTATTAAAAAAAAAAAAGTCCTACACATAAACCCAGTACAAGTCTTCAGAAACTGAGGGAGTTGAATTGATTCTCATTCTTGACTCTTCTGATGTATTTGGCTTTAACAGTTTTCTGGAGCGTCAAATAGTTATTTTCCCATTAAAGTCTCATGGACAGTCTCACTTTTCTTATCTCCACCTTTCATTATTCTCCACTTTCTCATCTACCAGTAATTATAACCTCAGAGGCATTCTTTCAGCAATTAGGGTTGGAAATGTGCATCTTCCTCCAAAGCTAAAAAGTACCCAACCATAGATCATTGGCTGCTCTAAACAAACTTAAAGTCCAGCACAGCTTGAGGTAGGCAGCCACTGCTTGGTCACCGTCACATGCTACCTTATGCCTTTCACAACAGTGTTCCTTTTTAGAGTGCAGTTGGCATATTGAATTCTACCGTGTTAGCATGAGATACTTATTTATGTGCCAAAATATGTGTTTTATTTGCGGTTTTGTTTTGTTTCTTTTTCAGCTTCATTGACTGTTATTTCTGTAAAGGCAGTCTCAGGCATGATCACTTTTTCTGTGACGGATAAAATGCAACTGTCTTATCCCATCTTCTATATCATGTTTATCATCATGATAACATCTTGTGTTTTCCAAGTCAAGTAAGTTAGCTTCTACATACTCCTTAATCTTTTGTGTCTGAGCATTCCTTCATCTCTGTTGGCTCCGGATGATAATGGAAATGAACTAGAACTGATTTCTAAAGGTGAAGGGCCTACAGCTTTTCCTTTGCTTCTTACCATGCCTTGTTTTGTCCTTCGCATCCAATAAGCCATTTCCACAAAGCATCGCTTTCCTGCCTGGTGAGTCCTAAAGTCCGGCCCTAATCCAGCTAAGTGCTCCTTGATACTTTCCTGATGCTCTTCTGCTTGTAATTAATATCCATCGTACACAGGTTGTCATTAGCAATAAATCAAAGGGGCAGGTCCCCGTCCAGGATTTCATGCTAAATATAGGAAATACATGAACCCTTCACCTTCATTTCTTAGCTCATGCTCATTAATTGCTCAGAGATGGACAAAACCAGACGTTTGGCCGGGAGGGAAATCCTTTCTCCAGAACTTTTGCATCTTTGGCCAGAATTTTCTTTGAACCCATGGGATCGCGGAGTGATTGTTTTATGTTTCTCTTGGGGCCTAATAGTGGTGACATGGTACATTTTTAATTTCTTGCTTTACTCTCCCCCATCTTCCCCCTCCATCTGCTCAGATCACTCCCCTGCCATTTCTCTTTGCTGTTGTGCCCTTGCCTGCTGATCTCTCTTGAATTGAACAGAAAGGTTTCTGTTCACCCCACAGTGCTGTGCAAAAGCACCATTCCAGTGCCAGCCAGAAAGCCAGTGCCCATATTGTTGAATAGTCATGGGCTGGAGATGGTCTCTGGTCCAAGGGCTGTAGGAAGTTATTGGAGGAACTCAGTGTTTTACCATGGTTTTGTTGGTCATTCTAAGACTTTCTAATTCCTGAATCTTAATATTCTGCTCCTTGTCTCTTTCTTCTGAATTAATCAGGACAGCAATAGACTTTAAAATCTAGTGATTAGTATCATTATCTTTATACTTCCCTTTATGAGTGTAAAGGCAGATAAAATAGAAGAGACAGTATGTTCCTATCTCTTTTTTGGTCCCTGAATCCTTCCCAGTGTATAGCTGTGGTCCTCAACCTTGGCTGTCCATTGAAATCATCAGAGGAGGTTGATTTGTTTATACATCTGTGTGTATATTCGTGCATTTGTACATATATGTGAATACGTACATTATACACACATGTGCATACACACATATGCGTGTGCATGCCTGGAATCATTTTTTTCTCCATCTGCCCTGGGGTAAAAAATCTAAGCATTTGTGGTTTTTTAAAGCACTCAGGTGATATCAGTGCAATCCATTGCTTTAGAAAAGGAAAAGTTTAGTCCCCCAAGGGGACAAGGCAGCTGTGGGAACCTGAAATCGTGTTGGTGGCCGAAGTAAGTGAGAAGCTGAGCTCCCCACATGTGCACTGCAGCTGGAGCCCCGCTCTTTGCTTTTGAAACATTAAACATTCCTTTGCTGCTCCATCTTCTCTCTTGGCACGTGGCATGTCAATGGATGCTGTGCTATTCCCCAGATATGATATTTAACAGATTCTAGGGTCTATCCTAATGAATCAGCCCCAGTGTGATACTGGTCCAGCAGCTTGAATCGCTTCCAACTCAAACTTCTGTGGCCTCGGAATATGATTAATTGCTTTTCATTGTTACTGTTGTTGGTTTAAACAGACCATAAAACCTGACATCTGATCTCATACATCAGATGCATATAAGCTATGACTGCTGATTGGAAATGCCCTTTTCCTGCACTTCCTTTCTCTTTGTAGTTCTGGCTAAAGAACAGGCATTTCTTGAAGTTATTGTTAAGTTCTTGTTGAGCGTCTCTTAAAGCCAGAGATTCACTTCATGCCTTCTGCTCTAGGTTCCTGAATCAAGCCACAAAACTCTACAATATGACGATGGTGGTGCCCATTAACCATGTTTTCTTTACGATCAGTGCCATTATTGCAGGTGAGTTTTAGCTTTCTATTCTTAGGTAATTCTACAACACACAAACATAAATCAAGACATTTTTGGCTTACAGGAACTGTACAGTTCATACCTCTCTAGCTTCCACCCGTTCCCTGAATTACCTCCATAACATCCCCTGTTGTTGTTGTTGTTGTTGTTGTTGTTGTTGTTGATTGCCTTCAAGTCGAGCGTGACTCATAGTGACCCTATGAACAAAAATCCTGAAGCCCCTCTACAACGATCGACATTTGTCAAAGTTCATAGAGTTTCCAGAGGCATGTTGTTTAGGAAGTGGGTGCCACTCCTGGAAGGTTTTTCTGCTTTGTGATTGTACTCCAGTGCTTGCTAACTCGCAAGGCAGCTCACCCCTATTATGGATCACAAATTATCTGAGAAGCTCTGGTGGCATTGTGTATTATATGTTGCACTGTTAACCAAAAGGGAAACTGTTTGAATCTACCAGCTGCTCCAAGGGGATCTTCCAGTAAAGACTTTCAGCTTCAGAAACTGGACGGAGGGTCCTGTGCGTCAGAAATAGCTCAGTGACAGCAGATTGTTGTGTTTGTTTGGGGTTGTTTGTTTTTTTTTTTATTGGGGCTGAAATTAACTTCTTTGTGAATTCAGGACATTCTTCGTGGTTCTGTTTTCTGGAGTCTTCTCCTTCTGATAATCATTGCAGCTGTAACGGACCTGTTGAGTCTTGTCTCTGGGCCAGGTGTCTCCATTTCTATTAACCCTCCCTATGTACCCTTCAGCAGCTTGATAGAGAATGGAACCCAAAAATCAGTTCCATGTTCCAGGGAGGGCCAGACAGACAAGAGGAAAAACTGTTATCTCTCTGATCTGGCCTCTCTTTTCCTTTCTACTCTTATGGTTCATTTCTTTTGATGGACAGTTATTTTTTTAATATAACAAACACAACAGTGGTAAAACAAAAACAAAAACAAAACAACCAAAAAAGTATAGGTTTTTGCTTGCCCCAAACTAAAATGCAATATATTTAAATATAATATTTCTAAATTTAGTATACTGTGTCATTGTCATCTCATCCAGTTAGAGTCATGGCTGACCCTTCATTGGGTTTCCAGGGCTGTTAGTTGCACGGGAGGACATTGCCAATCTTTCTCCTGAAGTGTAGCTGGTGGATTCAAACCACCAGAGAGGTGCAGCATTTGTATTAGCAGCCCAACCCCTTATGGTCTATGCCCCCAGAGCTCCTTAAATTTAGTATCAATGTTCCCTGTTTTATTGGTTTGTGCGATATGTTTACCTTCACATCTGAGGAGTTCATTTCTCAATGCAAAGTTAATATATTTTAATGGCAATCTGGGATTCTCTCTTTCTTAATTGGCACATCTTGTCTTATTTCATGGCAAACAGCATGACTGCCAGTGAGCAATTTAAAAAAAATTAATTTATTTTCTGCTTTTAAAAATGGAACTTACCATTTAAAGAAAAAGATGATATTCTAAGGCACCTAAATTCTTTTCACATTTTATTCCTGTTGAGGAAAGTTAAAAAAGATGGATAATTTGTGTGCCCTAGAATTATGGGGAAAACAAAGGAATGAAGCCAAAGAGTCATAAGTATTACATACAGCCTACGAGTTAATATTAATGTGCGTGAAGATGTGCAGAGAATGCTGGTCCCAGGAGGAGAAAGACTCTCGAAGAGAATCAGTAGGGCTGCATCTCAGTACTCAGCACACCAAGAAATAAATGAGTCAGGGAGGCTGAGACTTTCTGAGTGCTAACAGCTATTGTCACTAAAGCAGAATCCAAGTGAAGCATTTTGATGAGTTTCTCTCCCCCTCCATCAAGAAGTACAGTTTAAAATACAAACAATAGTGCATTGAAATGATTTGGTATGGTTCTATGATGGGGACACATTTTCTTCACGTTGCAAAACCCATCAGACTGTACAACAGAAAATGTGAACTTGAATGTTAATTGTAGACTTCTCATTAATAATTATATATCAATATTGGTTCATCAGTGGTAACAAATGTGTCCCAGAGATGCCCAGTGTTAACAATAGTGGTAATAGTGTGCAGGGAAAGAGGGAATATATGGGAATGCTCTGTATTTTCCACAGTTTTGCTAAAAGCCTAAAATGGCTCTAAAAGTCTGTTTATAGAGTTTATGATTGTTGTTTTGTGTATCATCGAGTTGGAACCAACCCACAACTGACTCTCCAGGATGTTTTCAGAGGCAGTAATTGCACAGAGAATGGCCAGTGGATTCAAACCACATACCTTTGTCTTGCCCGTAAGTTGCCTGCCGACTTAGTGAAGCTCTTGTTTAATTCTCTTTACCAAACAGTTGATGCTAACCAGGCATCAGTAATGCAGACACTCTCCTGAACTGGGGTGGCATGAACTCCCAAAAGTGAGTTGCACAGTTTTTATTGTGACCCTTGAAAATGTTCCTGCTCTTTGAAACAGAAATTCTGCTTGTAATAGCACTCCCTAATCTCAAAACCTACTCACTGTAGTTTTGATCTGCGTTTTTTTCCCAATGACTAATGATTGTGATCACCTTTTATACAAATATATCTTGCTTTATCACACTTCACAATATATTTAAGTAGTTTGTTGTTATATTGTTTTTGTTTAATAAACTGAGGATTTGTGGTCACTATGTAACAACGACCAAGGAGGATAGAAGGAGAATTGATGCCGTTGAGCTGTGGTGCTGGAGAAGAGTATTGAGAGTACCATGGACTGCCAAGAAAACAAACAGATTCATCCTGGAAAGGGTTAAACCAGGTGGCTCCTTGGAGGCAAGGATTCTGAGGCTCCATCTAACATACTTTGGACATGTTGTGAGGAGAGAGGGACATCATGATTGGTAGGGTGGAGGGACAGCGCAGGAGAGGAAGGCCCTCTATGAGGTGGATTGATTCAGTGACTGGGATAATCGGGATGGGAGTGTCAGAGACAGTGTGATTGGCACAGGATAGAGCAGAGTTTATGGCTGTTGTACATAGGGTCGCTATGAGTCGCAAGCGACTCAACGGCACATAACAACAACAACAATGTGTAACAAGGAAGTCTATTGGCATCATGTTTACAAACCCCTCTGTTATTTTGTTGCTCTATCACAATATTGGTAATTATGAAAAAGTATTTAAAACTTTTTCCTAATGGTATTCACATATTTAAAAAGCTATAGGACATTGTAACCTTGTATATACACTTAAAAATTGTGTGACAATCAAATTAATTGAGAAATTATGGTGCATTCACACAACAGAATACTATGCAGCACGAAGCAGCAATGATTTTGTAAATTACTACCTAAGGGAGGGACTGGAGAACATTAAGCTGAGTGAACTGACTCAGTCCCATTAGGACAAATACTGTATAAGACTATTATTGTAGAATGTGTATGAGGATCCAAGGGGGGGATCAGGGGGAAGAGCAGAGAGGTGAGGCTAGGCAGGGGTTGGGGGGTGGTTAATCATAGTGTCTCACAATTTGATGGGTGGAGGGAGAGATGGGTAAAATCAATGGGAAAGATCCAGTTTGATAAACAATGTATATGAACTTTCTAAGTAAAAGAGTAAAACAAATTATTTAAAAATTTTAAGGAAAAAAAAAAAGAAATTCTGCTTGTAGAAATGCACCTGAAAGCTCCAACAAGAACAAACCCTAAAAATACTAGGTGAGGATAGGCAATAGAAGCAATCTAACATGCTCTTCAGAAAAAAATCAAGATGGTGGCACATCAGCTTAGTAAATAACATGGAAATGTTACGTTGATTACAAGATGTGCAGAGCAACATGGGAAAATGTTTCAGGAATGTTCATTAATTTAACACATGGTCATTACAGCTAGTCATGGTATCTTCCTGTAAAAACATTATTTCCAGATAAGCAGCTCTTTAAGGACTGTGTCTTGTGCAGTATGCCATCTCCAGCACTTAGAAATGCAATTAGGAGACACTCAATAACTAGGTGTTGACTGGCTGGCAGGCTAACACCACATACACACACAAATATTAATCCCAGGCAATATATAAAGTAGGCTATATTGTTTCATAAGACTTTATAAAGGCTTTAGACCAAGATGAACCATTGATGTGAACCAAGAGAAAAGAAAACCTATCAGAGCAGATGGCATCTCTATGTTTTATTTCACCCAGAAAAAAAGCCCAGAAGAGAGAGATGAGATATGGAGTTTGCAGAGGGAAATAAAGATGTAGTAGCCCTCTGGTTGCTAGAATAGTCTTCACAGCCTCTGCTACCCAGGTGGGCACACAGCCAGACCAGGAGGTCACACAGCAACAGAGGCAGATGCAATCAGAGAACCCAGAGTCCACCCGAGCACTCAGGTGAGACTTGTTCATGTCTGGCCTAGAACTGTAGGTGAGAAATGACCACTAGAGCTGTCTCTCCTTGCATGTTTCAGTGGAGCAATTCCTAGGGCTATGTCAGAAATTTCTGTTGGCAGAAGTTTCAATTATGTTGACTTACTGGTACTCAACATCAAGAAAATAAAATCCTTGCCACTGGACCAAGAAGCAACATCATGATCGACACAGAAAGGATTGAGACTGTCCATGATTTCATCTTATTTGGAACCACAGTCAACACGCTTGTTACCAGCAGTCAGGAGATGCAAAGAGAAGGAGTGGGAAAGTGTCTAGTCAGACTTGTTCTTGGAGATATGGGGTTAGCAGTGGGAAATAAAGAAGAACCGATGCCTTTGAACTGTGGTGTTAGAGAAGAGTACTGAAGATCCTATGGACTGGCCAGTGAACAAACAGGTATGTCTTGGAGAAGATACAGCCAGAGTGCTCCTTGGAGGCAAAGATGAAGCTTTGCCTCAGATACTCTGGGCATGTTGCTAAGAGAAGTTATTCCTTGGAGAGAGACATCATGCTTGGGAAGGTAAAGGGACCATGAAAGAGAGGAAGACCCTCAACCAAGTGGATTGACCACAGTGAATGGCACAGGATAGGAGAGTGTTCAGAACAATTGTTCTTAGAGTTGCTGTGGGTTATATCTGACTCAATGGCACATAACAACAACAACTGGTACTTATTAAGGGACTCTGGTGGCTTATGGTGAAGAATTGTATTGCCAACACAAACGTACATATTTTTAATCCACCAGATGATCTGTAAGAGAAAGATTCTCCCTTGCTATTTACTGCCTCTGAAAACTCACTAGAGGGTCAGCTATGAGTTCCTAGTTGATGGTACAAAAACAACCGGTATTTACATGAGGTCTACAAATCTGGAGGTTTTTTTAGAATAATTGAAAACAGAACATACAGAGTTTTTAAAATTCAGCTATTGAACATGTATTTTAAGGGCAATTACATTTAGGACAAAATAATATATTAATATAATTTTAAAGCAGCATGTGCCTGTTATAAATATTCTTCTCCTAAGAGTGATTTTGTCTTCTGTCCTTATTATAGGTATCGTATTTTATCAGGAGTTTCTTGGTGCGGCTTTTCTCACCACATTCATATATCTTTTCGGGTGAGTAAATGCCTAAGGGGTAAAACATGTGAAATTCTATTCCTTTTGTATAGGATGTTTTGGCATTGTGTTTGAGGTAGAGATAATTACAAAATTATATAAGAAACATCAGTTTCTTGAACTCCTAAAAGGAACATATTTTTCAACTTAACACCCTGTACAGGACTCAGTGCCTCTGACTCTTTGATCTAAGGCTCTCTCTGAGGATCTGGAACACTGAGATTTTCAGTGACAGCCAAAGTCAGGATAAACCATATGGCCCTGGGAGTTTTTTCTTCACAAGAAGGAATAGTATATCTGGCCTGTCCCATGGTTGGAAACCTCCAAGGTTAGATTTCAAGCCAATCAGTGGACAATAAATGTCTCAAGGACCACTCAGAATAAAAGGCTATCACTAGGATAGCTTCTAGGGAACTCTGGTGAACTTATGGTAAGAAGTTGTGCTGCAGTCCCAAAGGCAGACGTTTCAAATCCACGAGGTGCTCTTCAGGAGGATGGGCCGTCTCCTCCCACGTTATAAACCGCTTCTGAAAACCCCCTGGAGGCACAGCTATGGGTCAGTCCCAACTTGATGGTGCATAGCAACAACAACTACTCATTGCAGTTGAGTCGGAGCCAATTGATAGCTGACCTTCCAGGAGGTTTTGAAAGACTGTAAATTGCCTGGTTGGGTATTGCCCATGTTTCTCCTATAGACCCCCTGTTGGCTTGGAACCCCCAGAAAGGTACCACCTTTGGGTTAACAGCACAGCTCCGTACTGACTTAATAGCATCACATTGATAGCCTCTCTTTTTGTGTCATAGTAACCAACCAGAATGTTTTTAGCAGCTCTGCTGACTTACAGAGAGACGACCTTTGATAAAATATCACCAGTGTCTCGAAGCTCCCATTGGCTGCAACTGCTGTGCAATTAATGTTTAGCTGCTACTTGATCTGGTATTCAGCATGGTCACTGTTATGCAAACTTGAGCCTAAACTATTTTCCATGTAGGAAACCATCTATCTGAAGATTCAATTTCATAAAATATTTGGGTGAGGCCAAACTTCTAGGGTCTGGAAACTATGACTACTCTTGTAGCCAAGGACAACTAAATTTCTTAGAAAATTAAAGAATTTTTTTTTCTGCTGGTGTTGCATGCCAGTAATGAGTCTGGGCAGGCATGGATAGAAAATGAGACCTCGTGTCTGCCCAGAGGGCTTAGAGTCAGAATTAACCTCCAGATGGTAAAAACCTGGGGCAGAGAGTTATTGGAAGCGGCCCAAGTGTTGGTTCTGGGTGCAAGTATGATTGGCTGTAGCAATTAAGACAAATTCTAGGCAGCTTACCATGAGAAACAGGATGAACAAAACCATTGGAATGTATGTCATCATGTAGATTATGGAGCTCAGTTACTTAATACCATGAGCTGTTACAGTGTTCTTTATTAATTCTGTTCTTACAGGTGTTTTCTGTCATTCCTTGGAGTGTTTTTGGTCACAAGAAATCGAGAAAAGGAACATCTGCCACAGTCTTATGTTGACTTTGGAAATATTCCTGGTAAAATTGTATATTCTTTCTTTGGCAATAGGAAAGTTTATCCTTATGAATTCATAACTTCTGGTATTCTTTTTAAAGAGCCCTGGTGGTAGAGTAGGCTACTAACAGAAAGGCTGACACTATGAATCCACCAGCCACTCTGATTAAAAGATGGGCAGGCTGTTCCTGTTAAGATTAACAGCCTCACATTAGTGTTTGTATGTGCTACAAATATATCCATGTAGACAGTAGAGCCAAAAGGGTGTAGTATTCTGTAAGTGTCTTGCCCATAATAATCAAATACCCTGAGGGAATGAGTCACTGGTCTTGGGACCTCGGGACCACCACCTCAAGGGACATCAAGGACAATCAGCACAGCATCGTCCATAAGGACAGTGTTCTACAGTCTGTATCGGTCAGTAGTAACTGAGAAATTGAAGGTGACCTTCAAAGGTGCAACGTCTCCTTTGGAGCAAAGAACATTGAAGAAGATCCAAGACACATGGAAACACTTGATCTGTAGCACCAATAGGCCTAGATATTCTCAACGTCTGTGACACTGAGACCAGAGAAACAAGATGACGTCCAGCAACTACTGCCAAATACTTGGAAAAACGTCATAATAGAAACTTCTGGAGAAAGTGGAAGAAAAATGTAGAGCAAAAATCAAAATCATGGTAGTAGTTAGACTTCGTGGCCTGACAGAGACTTTGGAACTCTCAAAACTATGGCCCTACCCACCCTTTGCACTTGGACTTGAGCTCACCTCTGTGTTGCAACCTCCAGTCAAGCAACAGGTACGCCTAAGGGATGAGCAGTAACAGCAGGGAGGTGCTCAGCCCTTAGATCAGCCGTACAGGATCCCAAGGGCAGCAGTTATCTAAAGATAAAACCCCGAAGGTAGAAGGGGAATGATGGAGGAGAAGGTAGAAGGGGAATGATGGAGGAGCGAGTGGAAATAAGAACCACAAAGAGATAATGGAAAAAGTAGTGATGCAATGTGGGGATTTTAATCCATACCATAAAACAAAGTATGTATGGATGGATGTTGTTGCTGTTGTTATGTGCCATTGAGTCAGAACCAACTCATAGCTGGCCCTCCATTGGGTTTTCAGGGGCAATAAATCATGTGGGAGGAAATTGAACATCTTCTCCCACAGAAGGTTAATGGACTCAAACCATGTGCCTTTGGATTGGGAGTGCAATTCCTTATCTGGCCACCAGAGCTCCCTTATGTAGGGATGTTACGGTTGGTGATTGCCTTCAAGTTGAGCATGACTCATAGTGACCCTATGAACAAAAGGTCTGAAGCCCCTCTACAACTATAGACATTTATCAAAGTTCATAGTTTCTGGAGGCATGTTACTTAAGAAGTGGATGCCACTCCTACTCCCAGTATGTAGGGATAGTTCAATAAAATACCAATCTGTTCAACTGTTCAATAACTTTAACTCATATAATAATCATAACTATTATATACATACATATGTGTATGTATACACACAGACACACACATGAGAAAATCATTCTTGGTCTAGGTAAAGTTCAGCAGGCCCATAAAGTCCTGGATTTATATTTGGAATTATGTGAATGTGGATAAATGTGCTCAAAGGGATCCACAACCTAAAACTAGTTAATTACCACTACTGTTGAGCACCTACAAACATTTGAAAAGAAGGAGGAAAAAAAACCAAACATTTGAGTGTCGTAATTATATAGTAAATACATAATTTAACATGGTGCTGCCATGATATTCTGTAAGAAAATGGCACTTTGTAGCTCAAAAACAGGGAAAAAGAATCTAGTGTTTCAAAACTTAATTATTTAGACTAAGTATCTTTCAATAAGAAAAATAGAGAACTTATAGCCTTGGAAACCCAATGGAGGGTCATCAAGAGTCAGAATGGAATTGACAAGCAGTGGGTTTGGTTTTGGCTTTTGGTTCTTTTGGGTAATAAATGACTATAAATCACATTTTTTTATCCCCCCAAATTGCATTTTAATAATGAAACCAAAGACAATTTTAACTGCCAACATTAATAATCATCTACTAAATATCATGAATTAGGAAAATCTGCTGTCAAAGGACTCCCTGAAATTACTCCAGAGTTCATTGATGTCTGTTTAAAAAGTAAGGTGCGCCTGCTTGAAGCTATGGTATTTTCAGTTACTTTCTATGGATCTTAAAGTTAGAGAGTGAATAATGATAAAGGGAGAAGAATTGATGCCTTAGAGTTGTGGTGTTGGAGAAGAGTCCTGAATATCCCACGGGCTGCCAAAAAGAGTGAACAAATCTGTGTTGGAGGCAGTACGAAGAAGGTGCTCCTGAGAGGCAAGGCTGGTGAAACTTCATCTCACATACTTCAGGCATATTGCTAAGAACGGCAAGTCCTTGGAAAAGGACGTCATGCTGGGAAATAGGGAGGATCTGAAAAGTACAGGAAGACGCCCAACGAGATGGATTGACACATGTCTACCGCGATGGCCTTGAGCATACCAGAGGTTGTTCGGATGGTACAGGATAGGGCAAAGTTCAGATCAGCTGTTCATAGGGTTACTCTGAGTCATAGTCAGCTCAATGGCTTAACAACAGCAGAACAAATGCCAGATTTTCCCAAAACATGGGATACATAAAAAGAACTGATCATATTTTACTGATTCAGGTGGTTTTGATGTTTTCTTTGGGGTTTGCCTTAAACTGGGAAGAGCTAAGAAAAAGAGAGCAGAATGCCTACCAGCAGCAAATCCCTGTAGTCAGAGAAGATCCTCTGTAGTAATTTGTTCATTGGCAGGAACAACTAAGAATAAAAGGTTAGACTAGTGGCGAGCTTCATCCCTGAGAAGACCAAGGGACTAGGGTGGCTCAGTCACCCACAGTGCCAAGAGTGAAGATCGTTATGGTCGTTAGAACGTGGGTGGCCTCTGCCTCTTCTCCACTCATCCACAATGCTTTTAATGTAGCATTTGAGTAGTTCTCCCTCTCACTGAGAAGTAACTCGCTTCAGTCATTTAGAGAAGGGAAGTGTACGTCTAGGACAAAGGAAAGTCTTTGTCCACATCTCTCTCCTCCCTTCCCTCCCACGACTCTCTGCCTTAATTGACCTACAGGTTTCCAGAGAGATGTAGAGAAATTCTCACAGCCTCCTCCACCATTCTCTCAGGGCTGAGGCCCTGAAGCAAAAACAATTAACTCTTACCCCTAAGTCTGAGAAAATATAACTCTTTAAAATGAATTCTGTGTTCTCTTTTCTACTTGAGCCATCTTACCCAAAAGCACTCCCACCAGCGTTGGCATTTACCACAGAGGTGTGCATTATTGATGCCTTGTATTAGTCAGGGGTCTCTGGTAGGAAATAAAGTTTATGTCTTTTTATGTCTTTTTCTATTAAAGTTTCATGTGTAGCATCCGCAACAGCTTTAGAAGCCACTGGCAGTGACTATTTCTCTATGTTTGTTGTTTGTATTAAATTAAACATGGAAAGGAAGAACACTGAGGAGGAGGAAGGTCTGGGGAAGCAGGAATGCTTCCTGCTCTTCTCCTGATTGACCCAACCTGTGCAGCTTGCCAGCAGCGCCGATCCTGTGAGAGACCGGAAGAGAAGCTCCCCTCTGGAGAGCCTTTTCCATATCTTGATACGGGTACTCATTCCCTATCAAGAGACATAGTGTTCCATGAGACTTTTTCTTCTTTGGCATTTATCTCTTCAGTTTAAAAGGTTACCACAGAGTATAAAATAAAATGTGGCTTGTATTGAAGGGAAATTATGAGAATTTCATCTTTTGTAAGAGCTCAAAAGTGGTTTTTTTTATTATTATTATCCCCACAGGGACGCAAATGTTGGACAAAATACAACCAGATTCAAATGGCTTATCCTATGGAACTTTGCCTGATGGAAGTGACTCAACAAAGAGCCAAAGTGGAGAGAAGAAAGAGGTCTAAAATGCCGAGGGGGGCGGCTGTTGGCCTGTTATTCAATACCACCTTTTGAAAAAAATTGCACATGTTCAATTTGTGTCAGCAGCTATTTTGTGCTGACATGTGCTAGCATTACTCCCAGTCCTTTGCACCCCACCTCACTTTCTATGGACGATCGGGGCCTTCCCAAGCTTTGACAGCCTAATGTTTTCATGGACTGTAATTTGAAGTGTTCCCCACACCCCGGCCCTCTCCCCAGTGATCATCCAGCAGGCTGGATCTTAATGTGAGCCTGGCTGCTTTGGCAGGAATGTCACACAAATATGTGCACTCAAAACTTGGCGGTACTGCCGTGAACATAGGTTGACTTTCCTGTGTGGTGTGTAGTGCGTCCTTCTTCTTCAGATAAACAACCTCAGCCCTGAAAGGAAGTGCTGAGAACGTTCTTTTTTTTCTGTAGGGCATTTCTTGAGCCTCTCATCAGCATCGAGATCTCACCTCTATTCCTGAATTGTTGTTGTTACTCATTGTTGAGCTGGGGCTGACTCACAGCTGACCCTCCAGGGGTTCTTCAGAGGCTGCATATTGTGCTGGAGGAGATTGCCCATCTTTCTCCCAGGGAGCAGACAGTGGATTTGAACTGCCTCCTTCTGGATGGGCAGCTCAACTCCTTACTACTATGCTCCCAGAGTTCCCTGTTCTTAAATTAGAATGGTAAATTATCTTTTTGGAAATGTACCCCTATTTTCATTTTAATCATCCCTGGAAAGTTAAGGGTGACTTCAGAATCAGAATTTATGTGTAGCATCTTGTGATTGTGGATACCATAACTAAAAGGAAAATTTCATATTCTATGTCAGCTGCTCTGTGGGGAAAAGATGGACAGTCTCCTCCTGTGCTATTCACTGTCTGAAAACCCACCAGAAGGTCAGCTATGAGTAGAGTCTGGTTCCAGCTTCATGGTACATAAAAGCCACATGCCTTTATTAACTATTATTGTTGTGTTGTATAGTATGAGAACGAACTCATAGCTGACCCACCAATGGGTTTTCAGAGGTAGTTAATTGCACCGGAGGAGATTGTCCATCCTCCCACAGAGCAGCTGGTGTCCTCGAACCATGTGCCTTTGGGATTGCAGCACAGCTTCTTGCCACTAGGCCACCAGAGCTCCCTTTTTAAACTATAAATCTTATAATTCAGATGGCTTTTGTATGTCTTAGCTTTTCTACACAAATCTCAAAAATGTTCAAATTCTTAACAATATCTTCACTATATACCGTGTTCTCCCCAAGTCATTATTCCAAACTTCAGGAGATCCCTTGGGTGGAAGATAATCATGACTAGAGAACTGGATTGCAAGGTTTTTAAAGACATGGACGTAGAACACAGCCAGGCAGGCAAACAGGACATAGATAGGAAGCTCAAATGTCTCCATGTTTGAATGGTGTTTCTGCTGCAACTGAATCATGTAGCTATCTACTAAGATCTTAAGATTTGGAAATAGAATCTATATCTGGTATTTATCACCTGGCTGCTCCTGAGAGGTGTAAGGATAATGAAACTTCATCTCACATGCTTTGTGCATGTTGTCAGGAAGGACCAGTCCTTAGAAAAAGGCACTATGCTGGCAAAGGTGGAAGGTCAGAGAAAGAGAGGGAGCCCCCTAACAAGATGGATTGACACAGTGAATGGGCTTAAGCATATCAGAAATCATGAGGATGGTACGGGATAGGACAAGGTTCAGATCTGTTGTTCGTAGGCTCGCTGTGAGCCGTAGTCGACTTGATGGTATTTAACAACCACCTTTTTATTTAAATAATGTTCCTTCATTCTCCAGCAGAGCAGCTGGTGGCCTTGAACCGTGTGGCTTTAGGATTGCAGCACAGCTTCTTCCCACTAGGCCACCTGAGCCCCCTCAACAACAACGACAATAGTACATGACGTGGCATAAGCAGTTAAGCACTTGACCTCAGGCCAAAAGGTTAGCCGTTCAAGTCTTAGTAGAAAGGTCTGATGATTTGCTTCCAAAAGGCTGAAGCACTGGAAACACGATTTAACCCAGTTCTACTCTGACCCACTCTAACCCACAAGTTAGAATCTGTATGATGGCAACGAACAAGAGTGAGAAAAGTGAGGGGAAAGATAGATGGGTTTCATCTTCTCAATGTAAAATAATAAGCTCCTTCCTTAATGACATTTCAAAACCCTCAGGTCATTCCAACATAAGGATCTATTATTGCACCACCAGTTCTATTGCTTTGTGTGGGCTATTTAACTCAGAGACTTTGAATATGTAATAATAACTGGGGGGGTACTTTGTTTTTTTATCATAGTCTGCATTCCTAATCACAGGACAACTTACAGAGATAACTAACCCTGGCCACAAGAGAGAGATTTTAATCTCTTACCAGTGTATCAAAAATATCCCAGAGCACCACTGCCACATCCACACTGAGACCAGAATAGATGGGGCCCCACTACCAATAATAGCTGTTCTGGTCAGGGCCACAGTAGGGAGATTCTGACAGAGAGGGAGAAAAATGTGGAACAGAATTCAAATCTTGACAAGGTCAGACTTTCAGGACCATTTGGAGTAAAGACTCCTCAAGACCGTTGCTCCAAAACAGTGCATAAGCCTTAAATTGAAACTACCCACTGCAGTCACATTTTATCTAAATAATAGATTGGCCCATAAAATACAGAATATTGCCAGTGTGTACTATGTTGCTGTGTACCACTGAGTCAGAACTGGCCCATAACTGACCCTCTGGCAGGTTTTCAGAGGCAGTTAATCACACAAGAGGAGATTGCTCACCCTTCTCCATGGAGCAGCTGGTGGATTTGAACTGCATGTCTTCAGGATTGCAGCACAGATTCTTCCCAGTAGTACTATACATCTTTAAAAAAAATCATCTGTCTGAGACTAAATGGTTAGCATTTACCCTAAAAGCAAAGATGAAAAGGCCAGGGGACAAAGAAACCAAATTAATGCAAGCAAAGCATCCAGAAAGGAATTAAGGAAAATGTTAACACATTGTGAAAAATAATAACTAATGTCTCTGAACAATTTGTGTGGTAATAGTTAAATGGGAAACTAATTAGCAAACTTTCACCCAAAACACAATAAAATACTATTTCTAAAAATAAAACAGCACAAAGCCCACATCTGGCTTTTTGAACAATTCTTGCCACTATTGAAGATGCCCCATTAATTCGTATAAACAACCGTGCCATTTGTGGCCGGTTTACTGGATTGGTTTGGCACGTTGGCATTTGGAAGGTTCCAATGAGAAATGTGTTTGGTGCCTTAAATTACAGATTTCTGGTCACTCCTAAAACTGATTTCAAACATTGGGACAATAATTACACTAAGGAGTTTTTACTTGAGGTAGGACAACATTTCTAGCTACAGCAAGTGGCTTTGAGCACTGAAGAATTTTGCAGAGACATTAGCATAATGCGGATACTTTAACAGTTACCAGCATTTGGATCTAGTCAAAGTCTTGAGAAGGTAGTTGGCTAAGTTGCATTTAAGCAACCCAACAATGTTTTAGAAGTCCAGGCAACATATGAAATATATTCAGACCTACCTGGACTTTCCATATTCTTGTACCAAAGGAAAGCGAACAGGAATCTTAGTTGTACTGGCTTCTAGGATTTTTGGAATTACTCTGTACATAAAAACAGTCAAAGCCAAACCGGTCCTCTTGGCATTGTAGTTGGGAGCATTTAGCCAACACTTGGCTCATCTGATTATCTGTCTAGACTAGGGGTCAGCAAACTTGTCTTATAAAGACTCAGAGAATAAATATTTTTGGGTTTGTGGGCCATAAGGTATGAGTAGCAGTGACTCAGCTCTGACACTGTAGTGAGAAATCAGCTCTAGACTAGATGTAAATGAATGAGCATTTTTCATGTACAAACACCCGATGGGCTGTAGTTGGACAACTCCTGCTCCAGGCTCTTCTGCCCTGCTGTGCAGCATCTTTCCTATTCCTTGACCTTTAAGAGTGGCATTTCGTAGCTCATGAAAACCAGATATTGTTGGAGTGTGGAGCCATGTCTTGGTATTTACATTAGGATCATTTTATCTGAGAGAAAGGAAGCAACGGGCTCATTATTTGTGCCCCTGCTTCTCTCTCTCAACGGCAGTGGTTCTTTTTTGAGCACCACTAACTATACTGGAAGAGCGTCTTGATCCCACACTCCAGGTTGGTAAAAGCTTTGAAAATGAGTATTAGTTACTCATTAACTCCTAACAGATTAGAATGGAGCCCTTTACTATCTGCTTGTTTTCCATTTGAATGTCTGCTTGCCCTATAAGACTTTTCACAGCCAATTTCGCAGAGGGAGGTGGGGAATACACAATAAAAAGTTCTCACACGGTGACTCAGAATGTGCTTATTCTTCAGCTCACTTCTCAACCCTCACAAACTCCACAACTTTCTGTTTGTGGCAGGGAAAGTCAGATTGTATAGATTAGTACAATTCCAATGCTGTTAAAAGAGTAATGGTGATAATGTGTAAGTTTGGCCTCAAAAGAAACAGGTGTAATATGGTGGACATAACTCAGAAGGGATGCAGACCTTGAGCCAAGTTCCTGAAGCCAAGAGCCCTCTCTCTCTGTACTCCTTGTTTCCAAGTGCACAGCCCATCCAGGAATGGTGACTGTGTTCAGGCCACAAATAAAGCTGCCAATGTAATAGAGGAGATACATACTGTGGACACAAACACAGCCGTTTCTAAAGTGAATCTCCCCCAACCTCCATGCAGACTGCTCACATCTGGGGCTGGACCTAGTCCTCGAGCTGGGCAACTGCAGACCACATGCACATGAGGATGTGAAGTCTTTGGTAAGGATGCTAGATAAACACCATGCATTTTGAACTTTTAGAACCAGACCCGAGAATTGAACCTCACGTGATTGGGAGAGAAATCTAGAGGCTGCTTCTAATCGTTAGACTCATCAGCAGTCTGGCTCTCATTATGGCCATCCTGAAGTAAAAAATAAAATAAAATTCCAC